AAAAAAAGGTAATAGATAGTTATAATTATTAATTTATACATTAGTTCAATCAGATTCTTAATATTTTATCGACACAACAAATAAATTATTCTGTTGAATTAGTTTTTATTCTCATTGATCTTTAAAATGTTTGTTTACATATATATGTACTTACTTGGATTTGTTGATTCAACTAATTCTTCATAATTTTTGAGTTTTGTATATTTGTCACCCATAGAATAATAAAATAAATGAGAGAAATAACTTTAAAAAGTTACATCAAGTAGTAGTAACTGATTCTAAGAAAGACAAAAAGCTATTATATGAAGATTCAATTACAATATAAAATAATCTATCAAACATCATTTGATTATTCATGACAAAATGATAGTTCTATAGTATGTACATATTAGATCAATCGATTCTTTTCTACTTTTATTTGTTTATATTATTACAACATGGTATGAGAAATCTTCATAAATTATACAAAGTAACTAATCAGTCTATTTTTAAACTGCTAATTCAAACTAGAACATTGTTTATATTTGTATGAAAACAGTCAAAAACTCACCACGTCAATAATAATTTAAATCGAATGAGTGATGTGCTAGAATTCTTGATAATATTTTTTACTTTTTAATGTATGTTGGAAATAGGTGATGAAAGTAGTTTATTGAAATGACGAAGTTATTTTTTCCAACCGAGAAATAAAACGTAAAGTTGGTAAATCGGAAAAAATAATCAGAATCCAAAAACAATAACAATATAAAAATATACTAAGTAATCAATCAGTAGTGGTTTTTTCTTCTTTTTATGAAAAGAGAAAGAACACTGTATTATTCCATTTAAAACCATGTGAACAAGGAAAAGAAAAAAATTGACTTCCTATATGGCTGCTGGTATAAAAAGACATTCCGCGAAAGAATAGACGCTATTAAACATGCTCAACAATTAAAGTCAACAAGAATGATCAAATGATTCAGATATATTTACTTTATTTAACTCAAAACTATTATTTTCTTCATAGTTTTTTGCTTTTTACTACAACATAGAAAAGAAGTTTATAAATAAGACAAATTTACAAATACAGTCAATCATAGTGATAATAGGTCATACATTAGTTGAGTGCGGATAATATTCATTCAGGAAGATGAATTATTTCGAAGGGTAAATCGAGTGTACTAATTCCAGATATTTTAATAATGTATGCTCGAGCGAGTGCTTGTATTTGTTCCAATGAAACTGATGATGGTGCAAATAAATCATAATAGCAATAGTGATTATATTTTCCATCTTGAAAATAAGTATGTATTCTTAAACCTATTGTTTTTGAATTTTGGTCGATATAGAGTATTTTTACATCTTGTAATGTGTAATCTCGAAATGAAACAAAATATAATTCGTCAATTATTAAACCTTTTTCATGTAAAATAATATGACCATATTGACGATTCATCAATCGCTCATAAGTTGAACGTCGGCAACAGAAAGATGATGATGATGATGATGAACTCCTTTCTGTCCATATTCGATTTGGACCATGTATATAATTCAAATATCGTACCCATTGTTCGCGATCCAATCGCCATAAAATTGGCTGCTGTTCATTAACGCTAAAATCTACATCCTCAAATTGTTGTTTTATATAACAACAATTATTAAAGAAACGCGCCAACACAAACACAATGCTACTAACCATTAGAGTTCCACCAACAGTGAGATATACTATAAATGCTGTTGGAAAGTCATTAGAAAGAGTACTAGATCTTGATGGAACAAGACCTATGATTAATACTATCAAACCAATTAAGAATAATATTCCAGATACGATACACAAATACATCGTTTCTGTGCGTTTACGCTTCTTATGCAAATTGATTAATTCATTTATTGTATCAAAATCTAGAGAATAATTCGCTGTTGGACTAATTCTTGATTCAATATTTGATGGTAATAAATTCTATAATAAATTTTTTTGAAAATGAGATATTTATCATTCGAGATATTAATCGATACTTACATTTGATTTTTTATCATTAAAATAGATTGAAGTATCATTATTGATAAATGTTGGTTTTTCATTTGACTGCAAATTCATTGTGCTAAAATATTAAATAGTGTACTTGTTAATGTACGATGTCGATGGTTGCGTTGGATCAATATAAACTGGAGGCACACTCTGTAATAAACAAGAAAAGAAGATTATGATGCAATGTTTTTCTTGATCCGCATAGATTACATAATACTTTCACAAACTGAAATCTACAAAAAAAACAATCTTCTTCAGTTCTCTTACTGTTAATCTATACGTTGAGTGACGTCTGACTTTTCTCAGTGCTGAATCTAGTCTACTAAAACAAAAAATCATTAAAAAAAACTAGATTTATTATTATTTATTGATAAAAATAATTAACTCACTTCCTTTGCCAAGACTGATTTTGTGAAAAATATTGTCAGATGTGAGTTGTTATTGTCTGTGAATATAATTTTTTTAAGCCGGATGTTGATTGCTTAATCAAATATCAAAATCAGCGCTTTTTAAAGGAAATAAAATCTGTCAGGATAGAATGTTTTACTGTGCAAGATTTATTTTAAAAAATTAACAATTATTACAATGTCTATAAGATGAAATTCTTTACGTTTAAATCTATAATATTTATTCTCTGAATAAATTTAATGCAAAAATGACATATACTAGAGAGCTCTCTTATGGTTGTTTCAGAGATATGTGAAGTTTATTAATTATCACTAAAAATAATTCAAATAAAAAATTCATATTTGCGAAGTGACTAATAGATTTGCAAAACAAAAGATTTTCTTAACAAGCGTCGGTATCTACAGTTGTTTTGAACGAGAATAAATGAAAACGATATTTGATGTGATCTAACTACCAAAAGTTTATTTAAAAAACATTATTTTGCGATATTGAAACTTCAATGAGAGTTTAGTGCACTCATTGAAGATCAATCACGTATTTTTGTTGATTCATGAGAACTAAATGATTTTAATCGAGCTATTTTTCCTTGAAATTAGCATCAGAAATAAAAACTATACTCTTACTCTCATTCATTTTTTTTCAAGATCACTGGTTGATACATTCTACAAAATCCTACTATTTCATATATTCCTATCATCTAAATCTATTGCTAAACTATTATACTATAGGAGTGATCTTTCGACAAATAATTCGATGACTAACAAAATAATCACAGCAGAACTTCATACATTTCTAAATACAGTTAATGTGGGGTGTGGGTGTCGAATGAAAAGAATACACACACCCACACCCTGAAGATTACTTGCTCATTTTCACAAAATCACCAATTACTATCATAAGCCTGCTCCAATGTTCACTTGCTATAAGTTAAATTAATTAATTATTTGAAATTAATTATCAATAAGAATTTAAAAGATAGTATTAAGTAACTATATTATTCCCATAGTATTCATTCTTCAATTGTTATGCATAAATCAAAACTACTTCTTACATTCTATAAAAAAATGATGATAAAGTTAAAATTATTTCGTTCTGTTCTTAAGAAACATTGCTCCTCGGATAACTATATACTATTTTATGTAAGTTTTTCTTGAAAAAAATATGTCTTGGTTAAAAATAAATTAGTATCAGAAATATGTTTCTTTGAATTCATTGCTTCCTCATTTCAGTCTTTTCAATATCGGAACATTTTCTAAATTGAATTTTTCATAGGATAATTTTTATGTAAAATCGATACCAGTTCAACGTTGCATAGCTAAAAAAGAGTCGCGGAATATTCGTTGTCTATTTATCATAATATTCTAAACGTAAGTACAAAGTATAGACAAACGTTATCTCTCCTTTTTTAATATTAACATACGACATTTTTGTTATCATTGTTTTATTAGAATACAAAGTCTTCTTGTTATCAACAGTGCGGCTGTTATTACAATACTTAGGTGTCGAATATTTCTTATAATAGTCATTAGGTGATGCTAATAACATATGTTATAGGTTTAGATCAAGTAAGATGCTGTATTGTCTTTATAATAAACACACATGTTACGTTTTTTGGCAACAGTTATCTTTTTTAAGTGATTAATGACAATACTATGTCTTCTAAAACAAAAACTAATTGGGATAACGATAAGTGAAGATATAACAATTTTGTTATTTTATTCGTAACGTACAAAAGAAAATATCAAATCAACTAATATATTTTCAAGTTGTTATTAAATTTCAGTCGTAACTGGTTCTTATTTGAAGTTATACTCTGTGCCATCATATAATTAGTGTTTAATAAAATGGTTTAATTCTTAGCAATATTAATAACGACTGAATTTGATAATTATTTAATGACATCATATATATTTCTTAACAGTTTTACGAGACCATCGATGTTTATTCATATTGTTTATCATATGATAGAATTTGTTTATTCAATGATGCTGTAATGAGAATCGAATATTGTATGAAATAAAGATCTGATATTCTTTTTCTTTTTCTATGAATAAAGGAAGAAGAGTGCAAGGGATTTACCTTTATTTATTTCACTAAAAGTAATAATTTATTTTGATTCTTCATTTCCTCTTCTTCACTCCTGACATTAAACCTTGACCAAAAATAACCATGTGTTATCTTCATGTTCACATATACAAAAATAAAATATATAATGTTATTCTATTATTTATCAAATGAAATTATTGTAAGTCATGATGTTTTTTTTCTTTCAATTCAAATTATCATACCTCTCATATTCTTATTATTTAGTAGTTTACGACAGTTATTTCTTAATAACTTTAGTTTCAACATATTTTTATTAATCGTTCGTTTCATTCTAGAGGAACATATACTTCATCATGAGAAAACAAATATCATCTATTCTTATCGGTATGTTGTTAATCACAACAAAAAACTATAACTTAGATTATTGATTTTCTTTCATAGTTCTTCTCCACACATTCATCTTATGTCGATCTCAGATCATAAACTATCAGTGTAATTTTGACACTAATCCATTAGCAGGTGCTTGTCAATTCACAACACCAACAGGTGGTAATGCTATGACTTCAGATCCTGGTCAGACTCCTGCTGGAAGTCCTAAGCAACCTTTAACTGATGCCAAGAGCATCTGTAAGTATATTTAGAATAAAAAGGAAAGTAAAAGATTATTTTTGGATGTTGTTTGTTGTGTAGCATCGCCAACAATGCCTAACAATGAATATTGTGAACTACCATATAGAGCTCAAGGAATAAATTTTGATATGTATTTCTGTCGTCGTTTCAGCGCCACTAATTCCACATGTCCAACTAAATCTGGCACGGGGCAATGTAATGCAGGTTAATTGTCTTCCTATTCTTTTTCTTGTTCTTAATATTACTTCAATCAAATCTATTCATTTTAGGAAGACTTGGTTTAATAAGACTGCCAACTACTACAGGCTTAAAAGATTTGACATATACTGCTAATGTTGACGGAAGTACAAACAGTGAACAATGTCTTGATTTCTATTATTATATAACTGATAATACAGCGAATGCTAAAATCCAGATTGAATGGGAAAGTCACTCAGATACAGCACTTATAACTGTGGTAACAGCAGTCGCATCAGAGAATAAATGGCAACGTAAGCAAGTTTCTTTTATGGGTCCATCATCTTCTTATGAAGTAAGTAAAATTGTCTTGAATTTTTAATCTCATGAACTGAACATGATATACGTATGTATTGAAATATTTAATGTAATTATAGATTCGTTTTCAAGTGGGGCGCAATGCACCAGTGGCAGACTTTAATTTTGCATTTGATGAAATGTATATTTATGATGATTCTTGTGGTAATGTGTTTGTTATTGATGATGAATAATTTGATTTGATTTTGTTTATTTTTGTGATACAGATGCAATTCCAACGACAACTATTCCTAATGTAGTATGTGTTTAATACATAATAAAGAGAGTTATTATTATTATTTATATGTCAATATTTTTATTTATTTGCAGTCAACTGTTGTAATCGACACGACTACCACTAAGGTGGTAGAACCTGCTACCACAACTGGAAGCACTACATCTGGAAGCATCACAACTGGAAGCACTACATCTGGAAGCATCACAACTGGAAGCCCCACAACTGGAAGCACGCCAGCTAGAAGCACCACAACTGGAAGCACGTCAGCTGGAAGCACCACGACTGGAAGCCCCACAACTGGAAGCACGTCAACTGGAAGCACCACAACTGGAAGCGCGACAACACCTAACATGCCAAGTATGATAAACTCGTTGATGTATAACAATGTACTTTATATCTATTCCAATTTTCTTTTTAGCTGATACAGATCCAAACTTAGCTCTTATTCTACCACTTGCAGTTGGTATTCCTGTTTCACTTGGCATTATCGGTAGTATTATCTACTATTTTAAAATAATTAAATCCAAACACAAAATCAATGTTAACAGTACTAATACAACTAATGATATTCCACTGGTAACACCAAATAATACAACAGATAATAATACAACAGTGGATGCTCTGGTAGTTTAAGTGAATCCTATTACGAACAGGCATCTAACATTAGTATCATCCTGACACCAAATATCTAACTACGCTAAAATGTTTTTCTATTGCAAAAATAAAACAACTAAATAAACAATAAATTGTAGTGTTTGTAAAATGAAAGATAAATAATTTAAAATTTATGTTAGCTTTGTGAAGTGTTGTAGTCAAATAATAGTTAAGAGACAAAAACTAGTTGTGATGTGCACGAATGCTTTAACACAAGAAGGATAAGTGAAGGGCATAATCCTTTTATATACAAGAAAAATGATTGCTTTATTGTAATTCTACGCTCTTGAAATAATGATTTCAAATCTGGCATGAAAAAATCAACCATGCTAAGCATATCGTATATATTTACTCATAATATAGAATATGTTACATTTCAATTAAATATAGTCGTGTTATAAACATTTACATTAATAAATTCGTTTTGATATGAGCATATGAGATACTTGTATCTTCATAATTAGTTCGAAAACATCTCTTATAATACTGTTAATTGCTTTCATGAACTGGTAAAAGCTGTTATTCTGAAATACTGTCCTAATAACTTAGGGTGTGTGTGCTGTCTCTACTATGCCTTTTCCCACACTAACACTCATACCCACACTCTAGTCAATAAATCTTATAAAATTCTACTATTTCATATATTCTTATCATCTAAATCTATTGATAATATATTTTGCTATTGGAGTAATCTTTCGACAAATAGTTCGATGACTAACAAAATAATCACAGCAGAAAATACATTTAATGTAGTTAAAATGCTTTGCTCACATAGATTTTTTTTCACAAATCATGTTCTTATGTTGACTAGAGCATCCTATTTCGAAGATTTTGTTGATATTTACAGTAGATAATAGTTTACGCATGACAACAATTGTTTTAAAATTTGATGTAAAAGGAAGATCATCAATTTATTGTTTCGTTCTCAATGTTGTTTTTTTGTTGCAAATATTTTGCATTGACGCGTCACAATGCATGCGATTGAATTATTCTCTGTATGAAGATTACCTGTTGAATGACCCACACCCTCAAGAAAATATCCAAATACTCATTGTTATGATGGCCTACGTGGAAGACTCCTAAGCGTCATATGAATATACGACAAATAAAACTCTATGTGACGTTATTAGACGCGAAATATATTGTTGTCTCAATGTGTCATGTTCTCTTTCTTCGGCTTTTCTTGTTGGAAATTTTTCAGCATACTTGAAAGATTGTGATATATAATGACTTCACTTTTACCTTTTTTCAGTCATTCTTTCATCCTTCTGACATTGTTATACAGAAAAGGAGGGAATACAACAATAAACATATGTAGGATTCAGATCTCACACTTTCTATTTTTTAGATAATCGATATAATCATGGCAGAATACTTTAAACTACCGTGCTTTAATCAAGAAAATTATGTGGAAATCAAACTTCCACGACCAGAAGGATCAGCGGGGACAAATCATGCTAATGATGGTAATGGTACCGAGATTATTTGTTGTGTTGACACAAGTGGTTCAATGGCAGGTAGCCCTATAAACAATGTCTGTGAGGTTTTACGAGATATTTATCAACGCACACAAAAAGATTATCGTCTATTTACATATAATACACAAACAGACACAAAACGTACATTGAAAACGCTATTTGAACAAAATACTAATCTACAAGCTAGTGGTGGCACCGCATTTGCATGCATTTTTACTTCCATTAAGGATTATCTTCTACAAAATTCATCATCGAAAAAAGCAACAACCTTTATATTTATGACTGATGGACAGGATAATGAACCAAATAGTCAGGCATTGAAGAAGAGTATTGAAATGTTAAAATTGATTCTAAGTGGAATGACGAATGTAAGTCACTGTGCAACTACTTTTTAAATAATTTAATGCTTTGTTCTCTTTCAGTCACCGCCCATTACATTTCATGTGATCGGTTTTGGTGAAGTTAACGATCAATTCCTTAATCAAATACGAACATTTGGTACACGTCAAGGTCTTTTTCGTTATTCGACAGAATCAAAAGAATTACAAAATAATTTTAATGATATGTTTGAATATGCATTGAATGTACGTGAATTTATTATCAAATTTTCTAATGGAAAAACTTATACAGCAAATAGTATTGATAATGAAACAGTTGGTTTTCTAACTAACGATGATGATGATCTTACATTCGTTACAGAGTTGACACTAACTGATGATACAAAAACGACGACAAATTTGCCTTTAACACAAATGACAAACACTCGTGCTATACATCTTCTCCGTGCACTCAATTTGATTTCACCACAAAATGAAGAACATGTTAAATCAATACAAACATATTTAAATACAATTCAAGTAACACACAGCAAAAATATAATGGAACGTTTAGAAGCAGAACAAATTCACCAAGAAATTGATCAGCGTATGATGGAATATCGTCAAATATTTACACAATTAAAGATGAATCAAGTACCGGAACGTGTAAAACTGCAATTAAGTGCACTTAGACATGATGCAGTATTTGCAAATACACAACGAAAGAAGAAATTAGATTTAAGAGTGAATAAAAATGCTGATTATTTCAAGAAAACAGATATAAGTGGTATACTTCAAGGATATAAAGATTCAATTACACCA